CACCTTAAGGTGAAACATGTTAAAGGGGCTCATGCCACCTAACGTCTATATCAAAGTGAGATTCAGGGATCATCCTAAGTTACATAGGCAATTGAAATGAAATACACAACATGCAAGTATCCTGGGTACAAGTGTACTAAACAAAATTGAAAACATACGAGGCAAGTATACAAAACACAAGTATACTAAATGGGATAAGAAACACACAAAGCAAGTATACGAGACACGAGTATACTAAATAGAACCTAGATACAAGAAGCAAATGCACAGTTTCAAGTATGCTAAATGAGATCTAAATACACGAGGTAAGCATAATGTCTATGTAATTAAACAAGGTAGGAAATACTCCATATAACACGACAAGGTTCTTAGATCTTCAAGAGATAACAGTTGAAATCTAAGGGTTTAAAGATTTTGCATGTTGATATAAATCATTACATATGGTCCATGCCACCTAGAATCTAAGTCAAGTTACATGTAGTATCATTTCTAAGTCACGATAGCATAAAGTAACATGAAACAAGATAACTAAGAAAATTAACAAGATTGAAATAATTCAATTAACACGACAAGGATAAGGCGTGAAATCAAGGGTTTATGCATAATATCTATGCAATTAACAAGATAGGAACATTTAATGTAACATAAAAAGGTTTTAAATCATTAAGAAATGCAACACTTGAAATTTAAGGGATGAAATCAATGACACGAAAATGTTCTTAAGTCTTCAAGGAATGGACACTTGAAACTTAATGATGAAATTAATGACACGAAAAGGTTCTTAAGTCTTCAAGGAATGGACATTTGAAACTAAAGGATGAAATCAATGACACGAAAAAGTTCTTAAATCTTCAAGGAATAACACTTGAAATTTAAGGAAGAAATCAAACAATGTGGATACTCGGATATCGCTTGGATTAAAACCGTACTCATTGTAGGGAGCTCTATATCTCCCGTACAAGAACCAAGTCCTAGCTATGTCAACTATTGATTGATATCCCAAGTTCCAAAATCAACAAGTTGTGCAAATCAAGATATAACATATATATTCAATACAGTTAGCCAATTACCATGCACAAATAAGTCATGGAAGTCATACAAGGTATGCCCTAGATATTCAAGCTACAACATATTAAATGTCAAATAAGTAATGTGTAAACTAATAAGTCAAATCATAACTTCAACTCGTAGAATACTATCATGTGATCATAAAGCAAGTTCCAAATTATAAATTTGGCAAGAATTCAATATTAAAGCATAATTAACTCGATGGAAGCATAAAAGGGAATTTAATCGACTTAAAGTATTAAATTCTTAAGATTTCAAGATAACTCCAAATATTCTACGAACAAGATATGTCAAAGGTCATGTCAATGACTAATTTAATATCAAGTTAAAAGTTCATTCCATATAAAGGAAATAATTAAATATAAGCCTTAAAACTTATCCGATTATTCTCTATTTAATACACGTGGAAGAACTTGTCAAGGTAATCAAGAATATTAAGTTAGAAACTTAATCAAATCCATGGAACTATTGAATAAATTTTAATTAATTAATTTAATTAAAATCTCTAGATTTTAAAACTCATCTAAATGTTCTTAAATTAAAGTATGTTATTGAACATGTCAAAACTTAATTTAATAGGATAATACAAGTGAATTCCATCCAAGATAAAACCATATGATTTAAATTTTCATTCAAGAAAATAATAAAATGAAAGGTTTCAAAACCTAATCAAATATTCCCGATTTAATATATGTAAAAGTATATGGCATGCTCATCAACAATATCAAGTCGGATATCCAATGATGCGAATAGTACACTTGGAATAATTAATTAATCTAATTAATTAATTATCTCTAGATTTTAAAATATCTCCGAATACTCTCAAATTCACATATGTTGAAGGGTATGCTAGGGTCTAATATAATATAACATCACATATTGACTTCAAGTTAGATACGGCTATATAAATTAAATTTTCATTCAAGAAAATAATTAAATAAAATTTTCAATACTTGTCCAAATGCTCTCAATTTAATATATGCCAATGAACATATCAAGGTGTAATTTAATAGCATGCCACAAGTTTAAACCAAGGTATAACCGACCGGGAGAATTAAATTTCATACAAGAAAATAAATAAATAAAGTTTCTAGATTCCATACAAAAACATGTAAATGGGTTGTATAAGCATCAATAGCATACAATACATCAAGAATATAAACTTATAGCATCCCCTACCTCAATTTGAGAGAAAATCTCAAATCCCCACTGAAAGAAAAGTGCTCCGAATTCGACGAAACTTCGGGGTTTTGTCGGGGACAACAAGGTGATCATTAAACACTAAGGAGGTTATACCAAAATCCAAACTTCGCCTCAAACCCGAATTCGAAAAGTGGCCGAAAACAAATTCTAATAAGGGGGAAAGGTAGAGCACGTCAAGGCCTACGATAAACATTAAGGCTCGAAACAAATAACCAAAGAAAGAAAATGGAGGAGAAGAAAGTGATTTTTGACTTTAAGTCATTTTATTTATAGTAAAACCCTAAAAGTGCCTCGAAAGGGCCCCGCCGGGTCCGGAAAAGTAGAATTTGAGCAGACGTGCTCAAACGGCAAAACACCGTGAACGAAAAAAAAACCAAAATGAGAAAATATGAGCAACGGAATAAATGGCATCAAAAACTGAGTCCCGAGCAGAGAGATATGCCCCAAACAAGTTCGGTGCTAACCGGGGCCGAAAATCCGAAAACTGTAGAATTTAACCGCAAGACAATTCTAAGAGTATATGACTTGACGAAATGTGAAAATGAATCCCGTACGAGGATCTAGGCTCAAAATGAGACACTTTGCAATAATTTTCGTTAATTGCACAATGGCCCTTTCAAAAAGGGTTAACTACATTAATGGCATAGAATGAAAATATCTTCTAAAAATATTTTCTTAAAAACCCCTAAAATAAAATATCTTCAAAAAATATTTATGAAAAATACCCCAAGAAAAGAAAATGTTTCTGAAGAATTTTGCATCCATACCCCTATAAACACCGGGAGCAATCAAAGTAATTTTCTACAAAAGTAAAGATACGTATTTCGTGAAAACTACTTAGAATGAAGGTACGTGAAGTCAAAAATCAACTCGAGCACAAAAAGTGAGGTTGTGTCAAAAAGTGGCAAACGGGAAAAAAGACGAAAAGTGAATAGTGTCCAAAAAGTGAAAATGTGGAAATGACTCGGTCCTTAAAAGAAGTTGTTAATCCAAAGGAAAGAGTCTTGGAAATTACTTCCAAGCACTCGAGATGACACCAAGTGACGAGAAACAGAACTCGGAAAAGAAAATTAAACGGAAAAAATTTATTAAAATTTGAAAAAAAGGAAACGAGGAAAAATAAACGGATCATTACATATATTCAACTTCATATCAAAGTAAATGTGATCGTCTTACATTTTGATATGCAAAACTATTAATTAAAGTGCTCAAATCAAATTTCTCCAACATATGTATCTCAATAGATATTATAGCCAATCTATTCAATCTCTCTTATGATTTCATTGACCATAGGTAAGATTTGATTAACTTTAACTATGAAAATTTTCTCTCAGCATATACAACTGTAATTAGGATAGTCAATAATACTCTATATACAATCCAACCATTTGAAAAATAATAACTTAACCTTTTTGTAAAATCAAATACTTGAATTGCCTTTTTTTGTTTCTTTTGGTAAAGTTTCTCTTAAGACTTGTAACTCTGAAAATAATTATGTCCCATCAATATTAGAAACCATGTAGAGATTGTACAAGGTTATTTTGAATAAATGTGACAGTTGATTGTACCCATGAGTTAAAAATTTGGTTATTTAAATTGGGCTTAAGAGAACCTGTCATGCATGCACATGAGTCCAAATATAATATAATTGTTAAAATTGGATGCGAAAAAAAATAAATGCAAATAGGAAAAGGGAAGAGAGAAAGATGGAGAACACAAGCGGTTCGGTACTAAGGCCTACATCCATGAACAAAGAGCCACTAAGGGCTACATTTTTATTATTCAGGTCTATATATTACTTGAGTACAAGAAACACACACATATATATATAGTCATGGTAAAGATAATAATATATGAAAGGTGTAAAATAATCAAATGAGGTACCATGATTGGTGGAGGATTTTGCTTAACCGTTATATAGAAATATTTATAAATTGACCGGATCACCATGATTGGTGGAGGATTTTGCTCCATAATTATATAGAAATATTTATATATTTCAACAATAATAATAAAATAAATCAGTTTTTGAATTTAAATATAAAAAATTCTTTTTTTCTTTTGAAGGGAGGGGATAGAAATAAATTATTGTTACCATATAAATGATTGTATAACATATATAAATTGATATTATAAGTAAGTGTGTTTATTTCCATAATTTTTTTTAAAAAAGTTATTTATTGCCATAAATTTACATGATATATAAGTATGTATTGCCTTTTAATCATTAAAATTATGACTTGAATGTCAAACATATACTACTATATTTGCACCATGTTCTAAATTTACATGCGTTCGGGGTATCTTTATTAATTTTATCAAAATTAAAGGATATCATTATTCAAACAGTGTCCAAATTGTAATTGGGTGTCTTTAATCCAAATCCGGGGGAGAGTAAAATTTACCAAAAAAATAAAGAAAAAGGAGTTTAGGTTGTGGGACTTGGGGATGGGGGAGTTTGAGATTAGATGGAATTGGTGTCTATATTGTGAAAGATAAGGGTTAAGGGTAGTGTTGTTTTCAAGACACATGGACATAAATATTAGATTAAAGTGAGCCGCCACTTGGACACAAAAGCATGTGATTTTACACGTCCATAGTGCGTAATAATAACCAGAAAATTCAAACCAAGCAAAGCCACCTATAACATACCAACAAAATTCAAAGGCCTACAAAACCAGTATTGTACAACTTACAATTAACCATTTTATATGTTCAGATATGTATATGTGTGTATATATAGAGTGGCTAAACAAATTGAGAGGCTTATAAGTTACAACTTAGAACCATTATAAATATATGTATATATATATAAACCTTACAGATAATAAATAAATAATATTATCATATATGGCTATATAAATACTTAAATAGAGAGAAAGAGGTGAACCAAAAAAAAGATAAAAAAGGAGGTAGACAGATGCAAAGAAAGAAAGAAGAGAAAGGTCAGGGAAACATAAGGAAAGAGAAGAAAATAATTGGAATCTAAGAGAAAAAATTCTGGGCATTTTGAATTTTTGTTATTTGATCATCAACAAAGATTTTTTCTTTGATCTGTGTCTATACATATATATACACACACACATATATGCAAGCAAGTTTTATGCTATATGATTGCAGGCTGCAGTGGGGCGTCTTTTGATTTTGTCAAATGGTATTTCCTTATGTCTTTTGGTTCATTTTGATGATGTGCTTCGATTGCATCGACCTCGTTCGTTGTAGTTCTGGGTAGGTTCTATATGTATATGTATGTATTTGTATACTCTGCTTGGTTGCTGAGAAAATTTAGAAAAGGAAAGGGATGAATGAGTTCTAAATTATATATGCCATTATGTTGCCCTTTGTTTTCGAACAAGCTCAGCTCAGCGAAAGTCTTGTGCTTAGTTGAGTGAAGCTGATTGTTTTGTCGGTCCTAAAATTTTGTAACATTTGGGATTCAAAGTCTTAATTTTGATCATTTTCCTACATTTTCTTGGTACCCAAACAGGGAATTATTCAAATTGAAGTGGTAATCGTTGATGATTGTACTTTGATGTGGGCTGAGTAAATTTTGGACTGTTATCTGTACATAGGTTGCAATTTTTATTTTTTATTTTTGATTCTTTTTTGGGTTGGGTGGGGCTTGATTTCCATTTATTAATTTGTTCGATGGTTGTTTATCAAATCACAAGTTGGGTTAGGTTCTAATATTCTTGCCATGAGAGCGGTGTGAAATTGGGTTTTGAATATTTATATCATCTTAAAAGAATTGGGTTCTGTTAGATTGTTGTTTGGATTTTGTTATGAGGTACTCCATTGCTTTAATTAATAGTTGGATGATAATTTTTTGTCATTTCCAATGATAATACTCTCAACCTGTAGTTTGCTATAGTTGAAGATGAAGTGAGTGATATTTATTGTATTCTCTGCTGTTGATTTGTGTATTTATATGTTATGTGTTTGATGTATATTAGATTTTATAGTCGAGATGCGAGACCATTTTGGTTGTGTTTGATGTCTGCAAAAAGTAAATCCTGGAAAGAATGTTGTAATCCTTCAAGTAGTGTTGTTTCTGTGCCATGACATATCTATACTTTGTTTATGATAGCTCTCAATTCAAAATGACAGAAATCTGCCTCCCTTCTTTTCCCTTTTTCTTGGTGCCAATTTCTGGGAAATTTTGCTGGTCTCACCAGCCTTATTCAGGTCATTTCATGTGAATTTTACAATATGAAAACTTTTATATAAGCAGCCGCCTCCATTATTACAAAGTGTTTTCCTTGATAGATATGGCTTGCCATGCTTTATTACGGGACAAACTAAAACCTACTTAAGATGATAGACTACAATTTTGTGTTTATTTGTTTTGTCAGTTTGGTGAATTTAAAAGCAGAAAGTGAAGTCCAGAAATGTGTTTCTCATGCTCTCCTCATAATTTACCATATCAAGATCAAAGAACTGACCTTTCTTTGCTTATTGTTTCAGGTTTGGGCCTTGGTTTTACTAATAAACCATGAAAGACTATCTTTCCATTGCTTGCCAGTGTGAAGGCAATACTCATTTTGCTTCCCATTCCGTTTTGATTTATGATTTGTGCTTAAACACATCTGGATGGTTTTATGGGAGAGCTGATGTTGATGGGAGGATGCATTTGTCAGATAGATAGTAGCAGCCTCTACCATAAATATGAAAGTCAGTTAGGTCAATTGTAGCAGAAGTTAGAGGATGTCTCGTTTTACAATTTTTTTTGTGAATCAGATGGGATTGGATTACTTGGATTCCATCTGTTCCTTTGGAACATAGGACTGATTTTGATCCCCTGTAGAACTCTTAGATGATAGCAAGGAAAAAGTCTGGTACTACGGATAAGATATCAAAGGAAGGATCTTCTGAAACTTAGAAGAACAATATATTCAACTTAGTCATGGGCTTGCCTCAAGTGTCCTCGAGCAGAATTGCTGAGGAAGTGGCAGCATTGAGCACATTTGTGCAGACTCCACCTAGATTGGTTGCTGTGAGCAGCTGTGATTTAAGTGGGATGCATGTAACACACCCAGGTCATCGAATACCTGGGGATTTGCCATTCGCTTCTTTAAAGGAACTTCCAAAAGATCAAGATAACCTCAACTTACATAAAAATGGTGCAGCCAATGTGCAGGGGTTGAGGATTGGTTCCTCGGAAATCAATGGCTTGTTCACACATAAAGGTAAACAGAATATGCAGAGTCCTGTTTCGAGGATTGTGGGTTTTGAATCAAGGGCGTTGAATTCCCCTACTGGTGTGTTCAAGGGAAAGCAAACAGATGGCTTTCATTCATCTACTGCGGTTAATAGTACTGGTAATGCAACCGAGAGTGCTGGGTCACCAGTCAGGAAGCGGTTGTTGTCTCCTTTGAATGGCATGATTCTTTCAGATCAATTTAGTGGTGAATCTTTAAACATTGGCAGAACCATTTATAATTCTGATTCCAGGTTCGGCAGTGAAAGTAGTGTTACTGTTCTACAAGAGCATAAAAAGCTTAATGTAGGCAACTCCAACTATTTCAGTCATCAGATATGGTCCACCTCAAGTTCCCCAGAAAGGAAGAATTTGCTGGATAGCAGTTGTGGAACAAACTCCAGTTTTCTCACTGATGGCCCTTTGCTTGGGAACAAGGAGCTGCAGTCTTGCAATCCTTTTTCATTTTCACCTAGACAAAATTGCTTTGAACTAACTCCTAAAGCAAGGTATGAGTCGGGGGCAATAGCTATACCACCAAAAAAAGTGGTGTCATCTCCCCTGTCTTTGTCTCCTCTTGGTCCAAAATTTTCTGAAAGAAGGAAAACTTTAGGAGGTTGCAGCGATGCCAGGGAAGAGTTAGAGGATAACTATTTAACTTTAAAGGATATGGTACAGTCACTTAATGGAACTATCTCTGGCATTTCATCTTCCGAGAGAGAAGACTCTGAAATTGCAAGCCTATCAATTCAAGAAATTGATCTTCTGCAGACAAAGTTTGACAGATTCACCCCTGAAAAAACCACTGGCATCTGTGAACATTGGGGTCAGGATTCAACTCTTACTCCTCCGTGTGTCAAGTTAGTTAGAACCCTTAGTGGACTGCATGTCCGAAGGTCCTTGGTTGGTTCATTTGAGGAATCTCTATTATCTGGTCGTTTATCGTCTGGGATAGTCAGTCAGGTTAGTATGTTTATTGCTTTTATCACTTCCAAGGGCCATCAATCCTGGTGCTGCTAGTGAGGGTTAGACTGGTATAATTTAGCCTCTAGTACTATTTACATAAAATGGCTGTTCTTGGACTGAAATCCATGCACTTATATTGATAGTCTGTGTTTTTACCATTTGACAAAGTAAATTTGCATGCACTCTGCTAAATGGCTAAATGCTTCGAAGTAGATGTGTTTCATACCTAATAGGAGTTGGTATATGGGATATGAGTCCAGCATGTTTGATTGGACAATGTACATTTTCACTGCATGTGTCTCCAATGATTCAAGGTTACCATATAATTGTACATAAAACTTTCATACTGTGTTTCTCTCTCTATATTAAGTAACCATATTATTTTACTCTTTGGAAATGAAAGTATTGCTAAATAACATGATTATATTGTCGTACCTTTGTGTTCTTGAGCTTGGGAATTTGATAATTCCAATGTTGAGATGCATACCGACACCGAGGCCATGTAACATAGGAATCATCGAATGACCCATTGAAATTTAAGTTGTAATATGGTTAATGAACTTTATTTATGAAATCCTTTTGTTTTTAGTATCTTACTATGAGTTCTTACATGCAGAAAATCGATGGTTTCCTTGCGGTTCTTAATATTACTGGAGGAAATTTCTCTCCGCATCCACAGAAACTTCCATTTGCTGTAAATAGCGTGGATGGAGAGAACTACTTATTGTACTATTCATCAATAGAACTTGCGGGGAATTCAATGTCAAACAAGTGTAGAGGTCCAAAAATGAAAAGGAGCCTAGGTGTTGATGATGCTGGAGCAGAAAGGAGCCGCCTGCGTATACCAATGAAAGGATGCATCCAACTGGTACCCCTCTCCACCACCCCACACACGTGCACACACAAAAAAAAAGGATGGATTTTCAATTGAGGATTATTAATTCTTGTTTTACTCTGTATGTGGAACAATGTGTTGCATTTGAGCAGAATTATGTGATATTAGAACTTCATTTTATATGAACTCATTGCCGTTGTTTACGTACCTTGGTTATTGCATGACCGAGGACTAGCGACTATCTAATGTTCTTGGGCTCATTTACTGCTGATGGGAATTTGCTAAGATAAAATAGATTGGGAAGACTAAGAAGTAGAAGAATAAAAATATTGCAGTTGCAGTGTCAAAACCTAAATCCTTAGCTGGATTTTTAATAAACTTGGAATTGGGTTAACATGGAGTCTCACCACTGCTGGTGGGTAGAAGTATCATATCTAATAGCAGTGGCTTGAAATCCTTATTGTCATTCGTTTTTATCTTAAATGGACCAATTTATGACATTAGCGTTCATGATGCAACTTTTAGTTTTATCAAATGGTCTTTAGGCTATATCGTGTCCTGGTAATGGGAGTTTGTGAAAATGAAATACATTGAAGAGGCCAAGGAGTGTTATAATAAAATCTTGCATTCTCACTATTTAAACCTAATATATATTTCTTTATTTTATTTTATTCTTAAAAAACTTGGACTTCGGTTGACAAGGAATGTCACCACTACCCTTGGGGAAGTTCATACCTAATTGCGGTAGCTTGTTATTGATGTTTTAAATCATTCTTCAACTTAAATGGAGCATTATATGACTTCAAAACTTAAATGGATCATTTTGTGACTTTAAAATGAATGATGCTATTGTAGCTCTGCCTCAAAAATAAAATAAGTATTGTGTACTAATTATTCCCAATATTTTGCCAATAAATCCACAGATTTGTTAGGGCCGTATGGATGGACTTAATAGCTGTTTATGCGGTTATTGTTTGAGTTCATTATTGCTAGGTTGCTTTCCTCTTTTGTCATCTGTTGTAATTCACAACCAAACTAGTGAATGCATGTAAGTGAATAGGCCCTCCTCTCCCTAAGGAAGAGGGCTTATTACTGGTGTATTTTAAGTGAATGCATATTGACGATCTGAGATTCAACAGAAGCTATTTGAAGATGTGCATTGATGGTTCTGGACTCTGTAGTTATTGAAGATATTTAGTGAAATGAATAATTTGTACTTGTTAAGTTCCATTTTGTTTTGTTCTTCCTTGCTTGTTTAGAGTCATGTAATCAATAAGGACACTGATACAGGTGTCCATGTCCCACGCGATTAGAGGTTTCCATCATGCTAACTTCAAAATGAAATAACCATTAGAAGGGAGTTGATCATCAAATTGATTGGTGACATTTGAAAATGCTAAAATAGTAGGGAAAGTGTAATGGCTTTTTGTTATGAATATGATTCTGCCCTGTCTTAGAAAAAAAAAATCTAAATGATATTGTAGCTTGTATGGTAATTCATATTTTTGTGGTATCCTGAAATTGCCGAAATTTGTTAGACTTGTTCTAGAGGTTCTGTACTCTTGCTAAGATATCCTCCTGTGGCATTTGTTGTCCAAGAGTTGGCTGTTTTACACTGACTAAACAATTGCTTTTGGCAGGTTCTCAGCAATCCAGAAAAGACACCCATTCATACTTTCTTTTGCAACTATGATTTGAGTGACATGCCTGCTGGCACCAAGGTATGCTGGAACGGAACTATACAAAATCTATTGAATCTTGTGGGCCATTCATTGACAAGAGCAATGATGTGATCTTTTACTGAAGTTTGAAACTCCAAATTTTTATCATCAGTAATGTCAATACCAATATCAATAGCAATGATGTGATTTTTTATATGGGTGATTGCATATCTATAATTAACTCACGGGGCTCTATAGAGGTTCATTTGATACGTTGTCTCAGCTTTGATCTGGTTATGATTTGTTTAGTGTGTTGTTTTAGAACTGTTACTTTTTGCATGTGATCCTAATTACAATGAGAAAAAATGACAAGTGATAAGGAAAATCTGCGGGGCTAATGGAAGATTGAGTTCACTGTTTGACATCTTTAACATTTCCGTAGGAGGTACGGAAACCGAATCATGCAGTTACTGGGCCCAAATTCAGAGCAGTTTGTTCATGTGATAATCATGCACTTCAACCTGCATAAAAGTTTGTGATTTCTCTTATTCTGATATTCATCATGTTTAAATTGTGTCGTAGAATTGATTTGCTATTAACATAAATCCTCAGACATGATTAGTCTTCATGGTACACTAAGTAAAACAAATAAGGATATTGGACACAGACACGATATAATACGGATGCGCCAACACAGAAACAGCACAAATACAAATATATGTTTATATATATATATATATATATATATATAACAAATATATAACTTTTATGAATTTTCAATTTCTGTACTAAGGATTGCATAATTTGGAAGATGAAACTATGTGAATATCGTAACATTGTTATATTATATATGCTATTACTCTCTCCTACATTGTCATTACAATTTATGTTTTTTCCTATATGAAAAGGTGTCCTTACATGTTTGACTTGTTCTGTATTGTCAATTATTATTATTTATTTATTTATTTTTTAAAAGTTCGGACACTTGGAGGTTTGCTCATATTATTTCAAGATTGTCCAACATGACTACTTGGAGATGTATGCGTGCAACATTAGACTTATGTCGTGGAGTGTTTGGGATGCATCGACCAAGTGTTAGCGATGTGTGGGTTGAATGTCCAAATAATAAAACTATTTATAGATCATGGACACGTGTTTAAGGCCTGTCACCACAGACAAAAGACCTTCATAGAAGTGTCTATGCTTCTTAGATGACCCACTATTAAGCCTATATTGTCTTGCATTGATGCATTAGCTACCATGTTTTACATATATGCATTAGCAATGATGCACAAGAAAAGAAAAAGGAGAGAAGAAGATGTAAGGATAAAAAAAAAAAAAAAGTGAATTATGAGTGAATTTTGGCTAGTAAAAGTGGTACGGGTACAGTTGGAGCTGCTAGACTGAGCTAAGGTCAGACTGAGCATAGAGTTTAGAGCCCCAGCTTGAGTGCAGTCTGATTGTAATCTATGCCGTGTCTATCAGATTGAACTACCTAATGTGGAGCTGCCCATCTTTTCTATATATGATGATAGTTCAATTTTTCTAAGATGAGGACCCAAAGCCAAGACCTTGTAGTTGAGGATCAATTTTCCCAACTATCTAGGACCAGCTACATAAATATAGACTTAGTCTTGAATCACACAAAAGAGGCTCGACCCATGACCAAGATTAGATTTGAAGCCATGCAAATTGCTGTTACGCCTTCTCATGTAGCTACTTCAATAATGAGAGCAACAAAAATAATCTATACTAATGTTATCTAAAACTAAAAGTAAAATTAAATTGGAGCAGGTGACATGCCAAGCTCAGCTTGAACTCAGATCTGGTTTCGGAACATGAATTAGATCTTAGTTCAGCACAAAATTGTCAAGGTTTTGGCTTGCTCAGTTGTGTGACTAGAAAAGCCAATATCTGGCCAGCAGAGCCGAGCCCCTAGAGGTGTGTAAAAAAACAAAAATTATGGTGTGAAGCATAACTGAGGGATCCACAGTTGTCAACTCTCTGTTCATGTTAGTTTTAATTTATAAATGCTTTTCTTTTGATGTTGTTGACTTGTTTCTACTATCACTTCCAAGATTCCTATATTGACTAGTTTACTCTTCTTTCTTTATTCAAACCAAAATAGACATTTCTGCGGCAAAAGGTCACTCTAGCTTCACCTGCAACAGCTTCTGTACTGGGTAATGGAGGACGCAATGAACCTGGCAAGAAAAATGATATTAAACCTGCTTTAATATCAAAAGCTAGTCATTCTTTAAAGCATAGTGGTGGTTTTCCTGGTTCAAATGGAGTTGATGAACATGCAATAAGATCTGCAGAGGAGAATAAAGAAGTGATGGAAAATGAAAGCCCCGTCTATACTGGGGATCTTGCCGATCAATCCCAAATTAAGAAAGATATAGGTTGCCTGGACTCGTGTTGTGGATTCAATGGTAGTGAACATATTAAGACTAGCACGGAGGACAACAGTACGTTGAATACATCCCATATATCCGAAAGCCAATCTGTACATAGCCCTTCAAAGCTTAACAAGAATGCTTCTAATTCTGGTGTTCTGCGTTATGCTCTTCATCTTCGTTTTTTATGCCCCTTTCCAAAGAAATATTCAAGGACAGTCCAGATGTGCAAATCTGATCCTTCTGCTCAATCAAGAAATGGCACGAACATTGAACGGCGATTCTACTTATATAATGATATGAGAGTGGTGTTCCCTCAACGTCATTCGGATTCTGATGAGGGAAAGGTTAGTTTGAACTAGTATCATTTATGGTGGTTTTACCTTTCTTATTGACTTATCGCTTGTCATTATTGTTGTTGGTGTGTCATGGTCCAAATGAAGTCAGGTTAAATAAATTGATAAATATTTTGTGCAATCCTGATTTGTTGGGTAAAACACTTGTAGTAGGCATGTGATGTGGTTTACTAGCATCGGTATTTAAATTTTGTTTTGCATCCAACTGAGAGCTGGATATTTAGTTGGCTTTTCGGAAGACACACTGAGTTCAAGACTGACAATCCTATTTTTGGCACTCTTTTTACCCTGGGTTAACATGAGAAAAGTTATGTTTGTGTTTTATCACTATTTAAAACAGTGTTAGTAAATTGATGGGGCATAAAACATGCATCAACCAGCATGTCTTATTGAACAAAGTATGCAGGTTGTCTTTGATTAAAAAAAGGGTCCCAAATTGCTGGATTTAGTTTATCTCATTCCTAAAAATTTAGACACATTTTGTTATAAGTTTATAATATATATTGTGCTTGAGACATGATAGTATTAGTGGTGATGCCCGTTTGATACAATTCTGTAGTGATATTTTCCCTTTTTAGTGCTTCAATTTTTCATTTGCATCAAATAATCCATTGTTTTGCTCATATACCTGAGTTTAGAAACTTCTTCCCATTAGAATAACTAAATTATGCTCTAACAAGCGATGTTGCTTGGCATTACAGCTACACGTGGAATATCATTTCCCATCGGATCCAAAATACTTCGACATCAGCAACTAAAAGGTCCAGTTATGTCCTCCTTTGATCATCTTTGTACATATGTGTACATATATTTCCTGTCATCATATCCCTTGAAGGGGCAACAACCCCATTTCATCTGTAAAGATTTTCATTCATAATAAATGGATTATTTTCATTTCGTTATTGTATCCGGAGAAAATATGTGTGATACCGTGACATTTCTGCCTGGGGTGGTTCAGTAAACATTTTTGTGTAAATATTAAACTGCACAATCGAGGTCATTGCCTAGTTCAACGGTAAAAAACTTGAGCATTGGTGTCACTGACGCAGGGGAGCCTCGGAGCAACCACTCTGAAATAATATGTTGTCTTGAGTCTTCCCTTTGTAGGATCCTGTCTTTGCAGGATAATATCATGCTCAATTAAAGACATTCTCCCACTAAAAATTTTGGTAAATAATTTAAGATTGTAATACGTGATTAGCCTTCCCCCAAGTGAATTGGTTTCTCTAGCAGAGCAAAAGTGGAAGCTGAGAATATTCCGAGTGTTTGCTTACAAATATGCTTATTAACATTACATTCCACCCTTATTTATCACAATCTTCTCACATTGATTACATATCTGTTGCATGCTTTTGCCTTCAAAATTATCAAAATTCTGAAGATATCTTTTTCAGTATACATATTATAAGCATATCACAACCTCATTCATACAAGAAGAAAGTATAACAGATTATCAGGTAAAGCTGTAAATCACTTCACAAAGAAGTAGAAAACCAGAAACATAAAGAGTAGGAGCAACCAAGAGACCCGAGACCTATTCGCCCGCTCTCCAGTCTCTACCCTAAGAAATGCCGGGAATCTGAAACGACAAATTAACACAAACAATTTCAAGAATAGTAACAAAATGGACTACGACAAATTACCACAAACAATTTTAAGAATAGTAACAAAATGGATGTTAGTCCAGATGGTATGATTTCTCTTTTTCAAAGAGGAGGTTGAGTGTTTGAGTTCTACTAGGAACAATATTGTGGGTATGTGCGTTTGCTTGAATTTTCGGAAAAAAAAAAAAAATTCAAGAACATTATGATTTATACTTATTTTTTACAGCCACTTACTGCAAGTACTACTAGCTCCACAAACACCATGGTGGCAGTAGTTTTTGGAGTGTGTTGCTGAAAGTGAATTGAAGAATAGAAAGATATTTCTCATCTGTGCAAATCTAGCAGCTTAGCAAAAGATAAGAAAGGATCAGTTTTCAATATTAATCTAACAACTAGCAAAATGGGATTGATTGAGGTTTAGATTTACAGATTTTTTAAGCCCCGGAGCAACTCCAATGGGCTGCTATTTTCAAAATATAACATGTGGGTTTAAAATGGGTGGGCTCTCCATTAGCATGTCAAATGGGCTATCAAAATATAACTTTGCTAAATATTGTGCCAAATATAACACAACATATAGCTATTGCCAAATTTGCTATTGCTCTCCTCCTTCTCTCTTCTCTCTTGCATGGGCCGCCAATTTGGTGTTGTGGTTGTGTATATTTATATGTCAGTTGTGCTTGTATATACATATATGTCACTGTTGTGTATATATATGTATATGTCCGTTGTGTGTGTGTATATATATATGTGTATATATATGTCTGTTGTGCTTGTGTGTGTGTATATATATATATATATATATATATATATATATGTATATATCAGTGTTTTTATTTATTTATTTTTAATAAGGCAAATAAGTTAAATAAAATACAAACACTCACAAAAAATAAAAAATAAAATAAAAATAAAAAAAAGAAAAAAAAAAGTGGTTGTTGAAAATTATAATTGGGAACGGTAGTTGAAAAATAATGGTTATTGTGTTAAAAAATAACATTTTGGATGAAATGCACCATTGGAGCATAATTGCTAAAATATAGTATTTTGACACAGTAGCTCCTTTCAAAATATAGATTTGGCATGCAAAAATGACATTTTGCATTAGAGATGGTCTAACCCAAATCAAAACTAAAATAGTGGAATGTGACCCCAGTGGAGTCCTTGTATTTTTCTCATTTTGGGTTACAAGGCTGGATTGAAGCCACAACCATGCATTTCTTACCTCTTTTCAACAATATATGTTAGGGGGACTCCTTGACATTGTATATACATATACATTATTCCATGTATTGTATATCATACAATAATGCTTTGACCCATATATATATATATATATATATAATTACCAAATTACATCCATAAGGTTGGAATTTAATAAACCAATAGAGTCCATGCATGAGGGAAATTCTTGGCTCACTGATAAGGTTGCTCCGTTGTGACTTGGAGGTCATGAATTCAAAACAAAAAAAAAAAAAAAAACAATATCTTTGCGTGCAGATGTAAGATTGCATACGCTTAAGAAATATTATTATAAGATCCTGACCAATCACAATTCGACATGCAAATAAATGTATCATGAACTTATGTATATACATCTACGAACACACAAATATAATATTTATGAAGTGATCTAACAATTATTGTCCTTTAGTCTATTGCAAATTACCTATTACTTTCTCTCTCTAAACTTTCTCCCTTTAAACTTTCTCCATCATTTTCTCTCCAATAGCTCCTCCTCTTTTTTCTTCTCGCTCCTTTCCATGAGAGTGGGGAGGTGACGTTTTCATCCCCATAGATTCAATAAATACAACGTGTTTGAATAAGTTCGTTCCGTGGGTATTTTTCATGCCGTTTTTCCTTTTGTTCGCCTCGATCGACCCGTGTTTTGCTTTTGTTCATGTATATCTTCTCAGTTTTGGCTGGATCTGCTCATAATTGACTTGTTTCAGGCTAGTATGGGTGGATTTACTATTTTCTCTCCGGCTAGATCGTTGATATATGTTGGTTTTTTTTTTTCCGACTCGATCTTATATTTTCTTCTTGATTTGATCTTGTATGGGTTTTAGGTGGTCTTCCCCCAGTTGGTGGCGCCTTATGGATGTAGCTTTGGAGCTGTTGCTTTGATGATGATCAGGTCTTTGAGTCACTGTTGTGTTTCTCCTTTGGTGGGTTCCATTGCAGAGTTTGGTTCTTTTTCTCAACAAATCTGGAGCTTATTCAACATTTTTTCTTGTATTGCTTCAATATTTGTATGTATTTTTCTGGCTTGACTTTTGCCTCTGTATCACCATTGATGGATTAGCCTTTGTGCCTTTACAATGATAAAAAAAATAAAAATAAAAATAAAAATAAAAACGTAAAGAAAAAAAGTCTATTGCAAATTACATCCATCAGGTTTGGATTTAACTAAAGCATTTTTGCTATGTCTTTTATTTCCTCCCCAAACATAACTTCAAAGTAATGTCTTTTCTTTTCTTCCTAAACATAACTTCAATGTGGTTGGTTACTAGTAAATCTCCACATGTTGCATCCAAATGTAGCAATTAGTAGTTGGAACTTTCTCATCATCTAATAATTAGCTTTGTCTCAGTGTACTATACAGAAAAAGAGAATTCAATCACTCAAAGTAAGCATGTCTGTAAGTTTGAACCTTCAGGAGATTGTATTTGGCCAGTTAAGTCACCCCGTAACCTAGAGATTATGGTGGACCAATTTCACATCCATATTATTAGATATATATATTTATGTATGTATGTATGGTGAATTGCATTAAAACTTTATTGAGTTATGTTGATAATCGTGCCACGCTAGCTGTCCAAGTGGCACCACCTCTGAAAATAGGCACACCTGGCCAATATTTACTTGACATGCCTCTGCCCCTGAAGGGACTAAGCACCGAGCGCTCGTTTTACAATCATCAGCACCAAGCGCTCATCCGAAGCACCGCACGCATGTCTGACAATCAGTAGCGCGGAACGCTCGTCATAAGCACCGCGCGCTCGTCTAACAATCAGCAGCGCAGAGCGCTTGTCCGAAGCACCGAGCGCTCGTCCGGCAATCAGCAGCGCGGAGCGCTCGTCTGAAGCACTGCATGTTTGTCCGGCAATCAACAGCGCAGAGCGCTTGTCCGAAGCACCGAGCGCATGTCTGACAATCATCAGCGTCGAGCGCTCGTCTCGTAATCATCAGTGCCGAGCGCTCGAAACACTGAGCGCTCGTCCGGCAATCATCAGTGCCGAGCGCTCGTCCAAAGTACCGAGCGCTCGATAGAAGGACCTCGAAATATAGACTCGGGATGTGGCCTCGCGAGGTCGAGAAGGCAAAACCTCGGAGTAGGCTTATTCCTATGCTAGGTTCGGGAATCTGAGGGCATGTGGACAAGTGGTTGAGATCCAAGGTAGCGCCTCGGTTCGAGGCCGATGCAAGGGGGAAAGGACATTCGGTTTCCGAGCTCGAGCCGTGGGTGATAAATAGTGCATTAATTATGAAAGACATTTGACAAGATCTGTATTAATTAAGGAGCGTCGTTACCTTTTTGGACCAAGGGACAAAAAGTCGCGGTCTATCCGTCAATGTCCCATTTGTCGGGAGGAGAGACCCTCAAACCCTTACAAGAGAGGGCTCACCCAAAGGACTAAGAGATATTGACTGGGGGAATGATCACTATAAATAGGCGCATTAATCAGTCTCTTAAAGAACAAAAACAACCATAACCACCAGACATTGCCGAGCTCGAGCTCGAGCTCGTTGGGTACCGAGGTCGACCTTCCCTTTCTTAATCTTTTATGTGCAAAAGAGTCCCTTGTATCGCTTGGATCTCCACTTGGGTACTTATCTCAAATTTCTTGGCTTATGTGGAATGATCTCCTCATCCTACTCACGAACCATCTTCAACATTTTGGCGACTCTGCTAGGGAGGAGCGTTTCACAGATGTCAAGTATACGAGAGATCAGTCCACCCTCCCAGACTAGCCCTGCCCTTGGTGAGGGCTATGAGGGGTCCGTAAGTATGCCTGGGTCATACTTTTCCGGAACCAGAATCATCTATCCTGATGCCTTGGTCGAGGCCCATAACGCACTGTCATACAGAATGGAGCAGCTTGAAGGCACCCAAAAAGAAGTAGTGACTTTACTTTGGGAGATTATTGGCGGGGGAATACCTCGGCGAGGTGTGGGTCTGAGTGGTGACTTCTCTGATGGACCCACTGGGGGGCAGGTGACCCCAGACAGTTCTGCGCGACGTGTGTCTCCATCATCAGCTGAAGTAAGACATACCACGGGTCAGCGTAG